TTCCATTACTCACGTCATTTCCTACTCAATTTCTGATGTATGTTTTCATAAACTAATGCACATTTCTGGTGACTATTCTCATAAAAGATTGTGATTGTATATTGCATAACACCTGGCAGGTAGCTTTTGGCAAAGGGACGTCTTGTTTTAGGACTGTTGAACCATAAGGGATTTGTTGTCTGATATCATTAAAAGCTTGGCTTCATAAACTTCTTAAAAGATAAGCAGGATCCTGCTGAACGTCAGCGATTTTGCTCAGTTCAGCCTGTTATAAGCAGGTACTGTTTAATTACATTGTTTTATGCATCATATTCTCCACCAACCCATGATGGAGGCTACTGAGGCTACTGAGAACTCCTCCGTTTGGTTCTGGTATTGCAGGTCACCAGCGCCAGCAACAGAGGTGACTTGTGTTTGTGTAATGTTAAAGGGCAGTGCATTGAGCTGAGGAGCTAAGGGACAGACACTGTTCATCCAATTTGTAAGTCGCTCTGGATAAGAGCGTCTGCTAAATAACTTAAATGTAAATGTAAATGAGCTATTAGTGGCCAGTGGCCTACTGCCACCCTTCCCGTGAGGCAGTGGTTTCCAAACATGGGGTCGCTTGAAATTGAAATGGGGTCACCTGAGAAACTCTTTAATTTTATCAAACAAATTAAGAACTTTTTTCTCTTCAAATGGGTATAGAACACAACCTTTTAGTGTCAACTAATGACCTCTTAGACTATTAGAATGTGCTTTCATTACATTATTGTGTGTTAAAACAGCCCGCAGGACCTAAAATTGAGTGAATATGAACACACAACATTAACTAGGGAATATCATTTTTCCAAGTGGGGCCCCCTGCATTTTCTAGTGTCAATTTGGGGTTGTGTGCCGGAAGGCTCTGCTGTGGTTGTGTTGTGCCAATGCTCTGAGGCTACCCACAGATTAAATATTAACATCATCGGTACGGTAGCCATCCACTATCCACTCCTTTCAAAAGAGAAGAAGTCTGATATTCCATTGAACTTTTGGCTATTCCTGCCAAGCCACATCAAACATGTCTGGTTTGTAAGAACTGTGGACCTTTAGTGTAATTACACTTGTGCCAACCATTGTCTGCAATGGGCCTACGAGAATAAAGGGGATGCAGTCAGATGGAACACACTAGGATTCATCAACAGCTTCTGGTCAGTGTTCACTGTGCCAGTGGATGATCTAAAGTCAGTCACATACAGTATCTCAGAGATTTGATGTGGTAAGAGCAGAAATTAAGTAGTCAATATCTTTCATGGATTCGTACAACATTAACCACTAACTCTGCAGTGACAGGAATGTTGCAACAAAGGAGTATAAATCCACCCAGGGGTAACATTAAATTACTGTATGTCTTGTTATAGTACATTTCAAAGACACTGGTGCCCTTTATTATGCACCATCTGCTGACTGTCCAGACACTAAAAAGGAGCTTTATTTGACCAAAACGAAGACAACATAGGCATCTTTTCTTTGATAAAGTAATAAGGATGGACAAGTGTATCAGACAATAGCACATCCTATCTTACTTGCATAAAATGCTATCCTTTTGTGGGTAATTTTCTGAAAGATGTTTAGGCTTCAGAATATATGGCATGATTACTGTAATGATCTGTTTATACCCTTGAAACCACTTAAGACAAAACATGTTAGCAGGTTATAATAGTATCAGGACACTGTAAAATTCCTATTTCATGTCCCATATTCCATCCGATTGGCTGATTTTCCTGTGGTGATGAGGAGCTGAGGATAAACTGGTGATAGTCTGTCGCCTGGGGAGCCGGTGAGGTTACTTGGGCAAACAACTAAATGTGCTTTAAAAAAAACATAACCTTTTCCCTTTGGCTGCAGATGTTAAATGTTTCAGTCAGGGTTCTTATCTTACACGTTTCTGTGTCCGGCTGTCTGTGTTTGGCAGCCATTCATGGCCTTCGGAGAGCCAGCTCCCACTGGAACAAAACCAGTTCTTAAAGTACACAGCACTAGGTGAAAGACCACTGGCTGCTTTCTGTCAGCACTCGAGATTCCCAAGTGGCTAAGACCCAAGTGGCTAAGACACTACATAGAGAAGCCTCTTTTTCGACTTAGCAAAATATGGCTACATATTTGAATAATCCTTTGAAATCGACATACTTATATATTGGGCGGCAGGTAGCTTAGTGGTTAAGAGTGTAGTGCCAGTAACCGAAAGGTTGCTGGTTCTAATCCCCGAGCCGACTAGGCTCTGTCGCAGCCGGCCGCGACCGGGAGACTCATGGGCGGCGCACAATTGGCCCAGCGTCGTCCAGGGTAGGGGAGGGAATGGCCGGCAGGGATGTAGCTCAGTTGATAGAGCATGGCGTTTGCAACGGCAGGGTTGTGGGTTCGATTCCCACGGGGGGCCAGTATATAAAAAAATATATATATGTATTCACTAACTGTAAGTTGCTCTGGATAAGAGCGTCTGCTAAATGACTAAAATGTAATGTAAATGACTAGGTGAAAAATCTGTCGATGTGCCCTTGAGCAAGGCACTTAACCGTAATTGCTCCTGTAAGTCGCTCTGGATAAGAGCGTCTGCTAAATGACTAAAAATAAATAAATACAAATAAATATTCAAAAATAATGCCTGTCCTTTGGTGGGAAAAAAAGTAAAATAATCCATTCTTAATGACAGTAGACTAGACATAAACTTGTTGGTGAGCACTGGGTGACAGTTCCTGTCTGGGTTGTAGAAATAACGTCTTTCCTGACACCAAAATACAATTATTGTGTGTTTAGAAAATGTCCCCCCCCCCCCCTAAAATCTTGAGTCAAATTATTTAAAACATTATTGAAGTTGGGAAGAAAAATGCTTATTATTAATAACAGCAATATTTGAAAACTGAAATAAACTAATTAGCTACAAAATAACATTCCACACTATACAAAGTCTGCCACTCCATTTATTAGCTGGTCTAAATGCTTCTTCAGAATAAGAGAAGCACAATGAATGAGCCAGTCTCCCGGCTGGGTTAAAGGGAGATATTGCAGGCACTCTGAAACAGTGGGCAGAGCTGCTTTCCATAGTAGGATACAGTGGTAGAAAGTAACATCACTAACATAGTCAAACTGTTTGCATACATTCACAAACTAAATTGCAATCAGCATATGAGGAAAATATATCATAATGTGTCTTTTGCATTCTTAAAGGACTAAATTTGATGATAGGAAAATGATGTTGCAATGAGCACAACAGTGTAATATCAACATCACAACATTCACTACAAATAGTTGAGATTATGAATATGAGTGAATTCACTATCTTGCTGTTTGAAGTCTACTAGAATAGAGAAGGCTGCTCCAACTGTAACAATTACATTTAAATCTGACGTAGACTGTGCATGACCTCTGTTTCCTCGTCCAATGGAATTCTCTAGTTCTCACAAAACATAACAACACCTGTCCAACAGCTAAAACATACATATTGGTGACAAACAAAACTTTGCTTCCCATAACTTTCTTGAAAAGATATGTCTAAAAACGAAAGATTATGCAAGACATATTCAACAATCAGACATGTCTATGTCATCCATGTCAAATAATGGAATTTGTAGGCTTTTCAGACAAACATTTTGTCATGTCTATTGAACCCATACCCTATAGCATAGCAGCTGTGGTGTAACTGACCCAGTATTTAAATAAGTTTATCCACTTTACTTACATAATGTTGTGTTAGCCAACTGCTCTGCCTAGGTGCTGCTATATGGAAATGACTGGAGTCTTCAGGTCTAAAGTAAAGATTACTCATTACACAAATACAGTTCACCTCCATTACCAATGTTCCTTTCTGACCTGCTCCTCTCCACATCACCCTCCACAACTGATAAACATAACCTGGGCTGCAGTATGTGATCTGAGTCACGTCAACATTGTCTGGCAGCTTTAAAATAAAGGATTTAGTCTACAGTTAAAATTAGAGGATAGAGTATTCTGATGTCCTCTTCCAATGGGAGGATATTGATGTATTCTCTGTACCCCAAAGGTTTGTTTGAGGGGTTTATGAAAACTGTGTGAAAGCTGATGTAATATGAATCAACCCACACTCTAACCTTTGATTACTCCCTGTCCTTTGTGATGATAAGTATGTAGACTGAACAGTGCTTTGTTTGGAAACAGATAATATGTTACAAGCAGTAATCAGGTCAGCCTGGCACTGCATGGAAGAATCTGGTAGTAAACAATGGAGATGGCACAAATTGAAAGTACACTACTGAGAGAAGTATCAAACATTGACAGAGGTTTGGCTACTATGGATGAAGATAAAATGCATTGTCCCAAATTGGCCTACATGCTGGTTTGTTATGTTGTAAAAGTGTAAAAGTATGAGGAAAGGGTATTATGTTACAACAGTTTTTATCCTACTGAAAAGTACATCTTAAAAATGTTAGGTTTAGTTTTCATACTGTGACAACAATTTCTAAATAAAATAAAATCATAATTCTCTAATAGAGAGGAAAATTCAAATGTATTAATTGTTGTCACAAAAACAATTTAATTTAATTATCTTTGATTATTTAAATACACAGTGACCTAAAGTAACAGGCGTAAAATAAACGATTACACAGAGACAGACTATTAAGATACTAGCCTACACAGTCCATATCTATTACACATATTATTATAGACCTACTACATTGCAGTTTATTACGTTGCTATTACACAGACAGACAGACAGACAGACATAACAGGCAGACATACAGACATGCAGGCTACACAGACAGATAAGCTACTGTAGGCAGACAGACAATCAGTCTACTACCATGTGTTTATTCTCTGTAATTAGCGAATATTCCAGGACCACTATAACAAAAGTACAGCGCCATATTCCCTATCCGATAATTACACGCACAACTTCAGAAGTTGCCTAATTAGTGCGCACTTATGCTGGTTTTGGCCACCAGACGCACAGCCTGTGAGGCATGTCAGGGCATGTCCAGATCGGATGAAGTGGCACTGCATAGCCTATCGATAGCGTGCAAAAGTATAGACTCGTGAAAACGATAGAAAAGGGTGCGCTTATGTATCTTCGCCAACCTTATGGATCGAGGTAATATATATTTTTGACTTTGAATCATTTGATGTGATACTCAGGGTGGGAACTTATTATTGGCTCGTGATGCGTTGCGCACTGCTGGTCATGAATTATCTTTCCAGTTGCTAATGTCTGAGCTTTCCAACCTTAGTGATTTTGCTTTGTGGTATTTCATAAAACAGTTTAGTAATCCTTCGTCAATATTAGTAGCCGTGTTGTAAGTTAGAGGACAATTTATGCTAAAACCTCTGCATGTATTTTTTCTCAATATTATTATTTAGGTTTTTACCCCTCAACACAACACATAGAGATGATGATGATGGAGCCTAGCTGATTTAAGATTTAGATATTCTTTGCCTGTAACTATAGACAAGATATCCCCTTGTTGTGTTTGTTGTCTAAATTGTTTGTGTACTTTAGTGACATCAAGTGATAGGATATTAGTTCAACATGCACACAAGCAATATATTTGATTCAATATTCAATGCAGTTTCTAAGAAACAGCAATGTCTTTATGCATTTTGTTTCCATTTTAATCAATGTTCATGATAAAGATTTTAAAATGGGCTAACTACTGAGCCAAAAACTATTATACATATTTTTATTTTAGTTACATTGCTGTCATGGATTGTTCTAAAACCCAGTACTACTTGAATGGGGACTGCCTCCCTTGTCTGCAATGTGGACCAGGACAAGAGCTGTCAGAGGTGGGTATTATAAAATTATAGAGGAATATTTTTGTAGTGAAAGAGAAAGTACTGGATTTTTACAAAGGTCAAAATATAGATAGGCCTGGTGCTGGCTACACACACTGATTCATCTCCTTTCCAGTGCAGCCATGTCTAGTAGCCTGTCAGCTCATCTGAGCAGCAACAGAAATTACTGCAGAACTGGGATTTGTGGTTACTATGAAACCATAAAGAGTTTGGTTTGTATGTGGTGATCACACTCTAAAATAATCCCACTGGCAGAGAGAACTTTGTTCCAAGTCCACTTGGCAGGCCTGCTAACACATCTACAACATAACGTTCTGAGAACCATATGTTTCTTAGAGCTTGGTGAGAGCATGGTTGTCCTATGTTTCTTTTGTATACAACCTTCCCACAACTTTCTGGAAATGGTGCTGGATAGTTGCTTGGCTTTGGAACATTCTCAGCACATTTAAGGAATTTGACAATAAAACTAGATTTACCTGGTATTTCATTACTTTAACAGAACGTTTCCTAAAAGTTCAAACATGGTTACATTTCCTTTCAATTTTGGTAATGTTCTAGGAACATTCTCTAACTGGTTTGCCATTTGGAATGTTCTCAAATAGTTAAGAGAAAGTTAAGAAACAATGTTCTTCTGTGGGAATTGCAGTACTTTAGCATAACATTTCATACAGGTTTCCTCATGGTTCTATTTAAAGTCATGTTCTCAAATTGTTCAGAGAACGTTAAGAAAACGTATTATAAAAACCACAAGAAAAAGTTTAGTAACGTTCAAATTGTATTTTATTTGTCACATGCGCCAAGTACAACAGGTGTAGACTTTACCGCGAAATGCTTACTGATGAGCACTTTCTCAACACTGCAGTTAAAAAGAAAGAAAAGATTAGCAAAAATAATAATAGATAAAATAGTAACACAATAAAATAACAATTACAACGCTATATACAAGGAGTGCCGGTACCGAGTCAATGTGCAGGGGTACGAAGTAGTTGAGGTAATTGAGGTAATATGTACATGTAGGTAGAGGTAAAAGTGACTAGGCAATCAGGATAGATAATAAACAGAGTAGCAGCAGCCAATGTGAAGAGTGTGAAAGTGTGTGTGTGTGTGGCGTCAAAATGCATGTGTGTTTTGTGAGCGAATGTAGTGTGTGTGCGTGTATGTGTGTGTTGGAGTGCCATTGAAGTGTGTGTGAGTATGCGGGTAGAGTCCAGTGAGTGTGAATAGAGCTAGTGCAAGAATGTCAGTCCAAAATAAAATAAAATGGGGTAGCCATTTGATTAACTGTTCAGCAGTCTTATGGCTTGAGGGTAGAAGCTGTACAGGAGCCTTTTGGTCCCAGACTTGGCGCTCCGGTACCACTTGCCGTGCGGTAGCAGAGACAGCAGTCTACGACTTCGGCGGCTGGAGTCTTTGACAATTTTTTGGACCTTCCTCTGACACCGCCTGGTATAGAGGGACTGGATACAGGGAGCTTGGCCCCAGTGATGAACTGGGCCATATGCACTACCCTCTGTAGCGCCTTGCGGTCAGATGCCAAGCAGTTGCCATACCAAGCGGTGATGCAGCCAGTCAAGATGCTCTCAATGTTGCAGCTGTATAACTTTTTGAGGATCTGAGGGCCCATGCCAAATCTTTTCAGCCTCCTGAGGGGGAAGAGGCATTGTCGTGCCCTCTTCACGACTGTGTTGGTGTGTTTAGACCATGATAGGTCCTTAGTGATGTGGACACCAAGGAACTTGAAGCTCTCGACCCGCTCCACTACAGCCCTGTTGATGTGAATGGTGACGTGCACGGCCCTCCGTTTCCTCTAGTCCACGATTAGCTCCTTTTTCTTGCTGACGTCGAGGGAGAGGTTTTTGTCCTGGCACCACACTGCCAGGTCGCTGACCTCCTCCCTATAGGCTGTCTCATCGTCGTAGGTGATAAGGCCTACTCCCGTCGTGTCGTCGGCAAACTTAATGATGGTGTTGGAGTTGTGCGCAGTCATGCAGTCGTGGGTGAACAGGGAGTACAGGAGGGGACTAAGCACACACCACTGAGGGACCATTTGAATAGACTAAAATGAACAGCTTTGAATGTGTAAAAAAACATGGCATGCTAGCTCCATCCTGGTGGTGCAGTGGACTAATTCCATGGATAGAGAACAAAATATTGTAGGTTTGAATCTCACTGATGCCTTGTCACAATAAAAAAGAAATGTGTTTGCATGATTCATGCCTAAGGAAATGAATTTGCATGTGTCCTATCTGTGCTTAGAGTTTAAAAAAAAGTTTACCCTAAATAAGCTAGTAGTGTTATTAGAAGTCTTATTGAAACATTCAGTGAACGTTTTAAGGAAGTTATTCAAAAACCTGAAAATTACCTATAATTTCCGTTCTCAGAGCGTTAATAATACCTCCCAGGAAAACTTTTAAGGAACCAGTGAAATCCTAAGCTGTAAACAGGTATATTGTGCACTGTATATTTGTATTCTTATTTCCCACCAGGACTGTGGTTATGGAAGTGGATGGTCGGCTTATTGCATCCCCTGTAGTGTCAAGACTTATAAAGAGGGTCGGGGTTACCACAACTGCAGATTCTGCCAGTCGTGTAAACGCATAAACAGGCACCAGAAGTCACTGTGCACCTCTAAGAGCAATGCTGTCTGTGGGGAGTGCTTGCCAGGGTTTGTACGGTACATTATCTAATTGCATTCTTACATATAGCATCTACAGATCTTTACTTAAGACGTAGCTGTGCTTTTAAGTCATAAAAGCTCTTAATTCAGAACATGTGGACTTGGAGTTTTATTAGCTTGTTTACTTGAAGTACAACTATTTCCGACTTTTTTTTCCTGCTTTAATTTAATCTGATTGCAGCTTCTACAGTAAGACACGGATGGATGGCTTGCAGGACTTGGAATGCATGCTGTGTGGTCCCTCCTCCACTACTGAGCAACAGTGCAGCCGTAAGTCTCAGAAAAGGTTGGCCCAGGACTCTGAGAAAGAAAAACCACTTCAGAACCGTTGTTGTATGAGTCAGTTGTGTAGCCTACTGTAATATTTGAAAATTACCTCCATTTACTGGAAACATAATTACCCATTTTGTTGTGTACAATTGTTGCCGTGGAGAATGCATTGTTTGGGTTATGAGATATTCAAGAATTACAACACTGTTCTTTATTAATAGAATAGTGTTACTGTCATTTTATTTGCCAATGTATCAAACTCAGCCTTGCGCAGCACCGACCTCAATGCTTCTATTTTGCAGGAAGCAGAGGAGTTGATGTGGGAAAAGTCTGGAGCCCAGAAGGCCCAGCCCAAAATGCTGCTGTTGTCACCACCATTTCTGTCGCCCTGGTTACCATGATAATCATCCTCTCCGCTACCTTATTTATATACTTCAGACATACCTTACTAAAGAAAATATTTAGAGGTATCTCATGATCTGCACACAAATATCTCCTTTAATTGTTGCATGAGATGTTCACACAACTGCTGATGAAACTGTAATAATGTGGGTTCCGTCAATGTGTTTGTTGGAATCGCTTTTATAGTAACATGCAGGGTACAGGTAATCCTCCTCAAACTGTGCCTCTATTAGCTCATGAATGATATTCTCTCTCTGAAAGGATGCCTGGCTCCTCAAAGCACAAGTCAGAGTGACATGGCGTGTGCAGCATCCCCAGTGAACGGGGTCACACTGAATCTGGAGCAGCAAAGCCAGGACTCAGGTAATTATAAGAGTAGAACAGCACCCACCATGATGTATTAAACAGCACATTATTTACACTATAAATAAGTATACCAAACATTAGGAACACCTTCCTAATATTGAGTTGCCCCCCCCCCCCCCCCTCCCTTTTGCCCTCAGAACAGCCTCAATTCGTCGGGGCATGGACTCTACAAGGTGTTGAAAGCGTTCCACAGGAATGCTGGCCCATGTTGACTCCAATGCTTCCCACAGTTGTGTCAAGTTGGCTGGATGTCCTTTGGGTGGTGGACCATTCTTGATACACATGGGAAACTGTTGAGCGTGAAAAACCTAGCAGCGTTGCAGTTCTTGACACAAACTGGTGCACCTGGCACCTACTACCATACCTCGTTCAATGGCACTTAAATATTTTGTCTTGCCCATTCACCCTCTGAATGGCACACATAAACAATCCATGTCTCAATTGTCTCAAGGCTTATAAATCCTTCTTCAACTTGTCTCCTTCCCTTCATCTACATTGATTAAAGTAGATTTAACAAGTGACATCAATAAGGGATCATCGCATTCACCTGGTCAGTCTACTGTATGTCATGGAAAGGGCAGATGTTCTTAATGTTTTGTATACTCAGTGTATATCTCACTAGAACAGACATAACACATGTTGAATAAGGGCCGTAACCCTTTCCACTCACAGCCCCTGTCATCCCGTATATGGGTTGAAAATGGCAGATTTTGTAATTGATAAGCGCCTAAATTGGAATGCAGTGACTGTACAATAACATGCTATGCATGACGTCAGAGCTCAGGTACTACGTTTCACAGCGCTGTGTGGGTTCTGACTGACAGCCGTTATAAACTTGAGCACTGCGTGCGACAAGAAGATTCTCCCATCCCTCTCGCTAATTGGGCTACTTTTGCACATTTGTTGTCTGAATGAGGGAAATGCTGTAAATCGAGAGTCGGTGTGTTTTGAAAGATGGGACGGACGTTGAGGATTATAGTAAATACCGCTTTGATGTCATACAAGCAAACCACACAACCGTGAGTCCAAATGTGCACTTCACATTTCCATATTTAAAAACTAATGTCCTTTACAGTATCAGTGTTTAAGATTGGTATGGATGACATGCGTTATACCCTGGGTTGTCCTGAACAGAATGAGCCTATGCTTGTGTTATTGTGAAGAAAGTTAGCCTCGGAACATGCACTTGAATGCTCTCATGACTCCATTCTATGCGCACCAAAATTACAATCTGTTTGTCTGAAGTGCCTTTTGAAAGCCTAACACTGTAAAATCATATTTTATAACTTAGCTAGCCATGTTGGCAATATAATAAGATTTCAAACGATGCCCACCTGACATAGATTGCGATTTATAATAGAACGTTTTTGGATTGCGTAAACAACAACCGTAATTGTGATGGTGGTGACGCAGGGCTGTGTTCCTAACAAAACACTATAAGTGTGCTTGCTTCAGTTCCTCAATGGCAAAGCTAGGAGAGCTAAAAAAAAAAAAAAGAAACACCTTAGTGTTGAAGGCTCTTTCCTTCAGTCATATAAGTGCATTGAAATTACTTAGGAACTGTGCACAGTTTGGAGAGGTGTGCGGCCACTTGGAGACACCAGTTAGACCTCTCACTCAAACCCTTGTAATAGTTTTTTCTTATCTTGCATCTACTCCAAAATGTCAATGAATATTGTTATTATATTAATGACTGTATCCAGAGTATTTTCAGATTTTGTTATTGATAAATGCTGTGAAAAGTGCAGTAAATGTTAAATGCACATAAAATCAACAGTGTAATGTTTGGATTCAGCCTTGTGTCAGGTGAACTGTTGTGTCCTCACCTTTGGTCTGATAATTTCCCCATACTCTCCAAAGTATTCCCTTTCATTTGCTACCATGGGCATGCATATGCTTTCATAATTATTCTGTTAGAATCATTTCAATTTGGCTCTATGGGTCCTTTGTAGCTCAGTTGGTAGAGCATGGTGCTTGTAACGGCAGGGTAGTGGGTTTGATTCCTGGGACCACCCATATGTAAAATGTATGCACGCATGACTGTAAGTTGCTTTGGATAAAAGCCTCTGATGAATGGCATATTACATTTTCCATATAGGTCAATTCCCACTAGTGTAACGGGTTAAACATTCCCTAATTGACTCATATTATAGTACATTGGCGAATGCATGGTTGATTAGGGGTTTGTTAGGGTACTAATGTAACCATCTGATGACCTGTCTTCTTACAGGTGTATGTGGTAACTCTACCACCACTGCAGACACGTTGGCCAGACTGCAGTCCAAAGTGGACATGATTGTCCCTCTGGGGTCCATTCTACTAAGCCCTAACCTTAAAACTCAGGACCACATCAGCCTGCTGGAGACCCAGCCGCTGGTGCGTAACTCCACCTGCAATAACTGCTCCTCTGGGTTTGTCTCTCAGATATCCTCTGAGCCGCCCTCAATCAGTAGTGATGTCTCACTCACAGTGGAGACCCCTGTGGGTCCAGTAGACAGTGGGGAGTCTGAGGCAGGGTCCTTTTTCCGGTTCCTGCAGAGCAGTGAGGGTTACTGTGCCTCTGAGCTGAAGCATTTACCAGTGGAGTGCACTGAGCTAGACTTCCACAGCACTGCAGCCTCAACACTGGCCCTCCACATTGCCACAGACCCAGAATGTAGCTCTGTGAGCCTGGGGATTACGGCGATATCCGGGATTAGAGATGGCCCCCCCGGAGACGGGTCAGGAGGAAGACAACTGAGGAGTCCATTTGCCTGCCCAGAGGAGCAAACTGACAGCTGTTGGAGCAGCCATCAACAACCCTGCAACAGCAGTAATGCGGTAATTACCCTTAGGAAAGACAGGGCTGTGCCACCTGTTCCTCTCACACAGACAAGCTTTTACTCAGCAGTAGAGAGTTGGAGTGACCAGTCGCTAGACTTAGCTGTATTTTATGCTCATACAGCAAATGTTAAAAGCAAATGTCACCTTTAATTTTACTCTTTAAGGTGTGGCCATGGGGTGCAATGTAAAGACAACACACACACACACAATACACACACTGATCTCATAAAATATGAGTTGTGATATCCTCCCATTATAGGCAAGGTACTGGATGCCTCTAGAGACATTTGTCCATGTTTCCCACTTGTCATTTCACACATAATTAGCTAGATATGCCAAATTAAGTTTACAGCTTCACTCATTTAGTAGAGGATGTTTCCCTGAACTGTCACGTTCGTTGAATGACGGGTCAGACCAAGGCGCAGCGTGATATACGTACATGTTTATTAACTTATAAACACAACGACAAAACAACAACCGAAACGAAACGAAACGTGAAGTCCTAAGGTAGACACACAGCAAACCTTAACCGGAACAAGATCCCACAACTAGACAGTGCCAATAGGCTGCCTAAGTATGGTCCCCAATCAGAGACAACGAGCGACAGCTGCCTCTGAATGGGAACCACACCGGCCAACATAGAACTATACATACTAGATCCCACACATAGAAAAAGCACAACAAGGAATATACACACCCTGACTCAACATATAAGAGTCCCCTGAGTCAGGGCGTGACATGAACAAAGCAAAAATGTATTCATAATATTTATATTTTAATGCTGGAGCACATCCAACAGAAACAAAATAAAACATTGGTTATTGTCAAAAGACCACAATACACATATTTGTATTAGGTGAAGTTCTATTGTTGTTGGTTGTTGTTGTTGTTGTTGTTGTTGTTGTGGCTAGGGATTCAGTTGAGATACATATTCACAGAATCACAATTTTGTTCTGGATGGTTCTGTATTTTAAAGTTAATGTAGCAGTTTCTAACAGGAGTAGTTTTAAAAGTAGTTTTTCATTACGTCTTGCTGGTTTAAAAAAGTTTCTTTATCTTGGCCAAGAGGTATAGTCCAAAATACAATATCTTACTGTTCTACAGGCCACATGGAGAAATAGACAATCATTGTGCCAATAGACTTAGGTGCATACTTGGCACCATTGGCAAAATGTTCAAAAAGAGGATAATATTTTTCCCTTTACATCAGGGATAGGCAACTGACCCCTTTTGAAGGCCCTCGGATACATTTGTATGATTTTTTTGTGAACTCTGTCACACCCTGGCTCTGGGACTCTATATGTTGAGCCAGGGTGTGTTCATTCGATGCGTTCTGTTTCTTTGTTTGGGTGTTCTAGGTTGTCTGTGTCTATGTTTGCCTGTGTGACTCCCAATCAGAGGCAACGAGTGTCAGCTGTCGGCTGGTTGTCTCTGATTGGGAGCCATATTTAAACTGTATGTTTTCCCTTGGGTGTGTTATTGATTTTTGTCATTCGTGTATAGGGCGTGATTCCTGTATTTCGCTCGGTTGAGCTTCCCTCCACTGTTGGAGTATTTACGCACCTGTTTGTGCGCTTTTGTTTTGTTCGCCTTCGTGCGTATTTCGCCTTCGGGCAAGAGTTGACCTATTGCCGGGTTTGGCGATCACTAAAGTCTGTTGGACTATCCGTCTGTGTCCTGCGTTTGATTCCACCACTGCACCCACCTACAGCACGCGCTGACAGAAAAACCCACCATACAACGACCAAGCAGCGTGTCCAGGAACACACGCAGGAGGTGACGCTGGTGGATGTCCTCCTCGGTTGGGGGCAGATTACCGAGGAGGAGGCCGTCCGGTACCGGAGGGCTATGAAGGGGGAGACCCAGGCAGGAGAGGAGCAGCGGCGTCAGCAGTGCCATCGTCGGACGGATGAGAGGCACCCCCAATAATTTTTTAGGGGGAGGGGCACACGGCGTGGGCGACTGGGCAGCAGGAGGCTGCCACAGGGCGAAATAGGAGACGAGGAGAGAAGGCCACCGGGTTACGGGAGCCATTGGCGAGAGGAGGGAAGGAAGTCGTAGAGGCACGGCGAGAGGTACTGAGGTGTATTGCCAGTCCGGTCCGGCCCGTTCCTGATCCCCGTTTAAAGCCAGTGGTGTGTGTTCCCAGTACGGTCCGGCCTGTCCCTGCTCCACGCACCAAGCCTACGGTGTGCGTCGACAGCCCAGCCCGGCCTGTCCCTGCTCCACGCACCAAACCTACGGTGTGCGTCGCCAGCCCTGCCCGGCCTGTTCCTGCTCCACGCACCAAGCCTACGGTGTGCGTCGACAGCCCAGCCCGGCCTGTCCCTGCTCCACGCACCAAACCTACGGTGTGCGTCGCCAGCCCAGCCCGGCTTGTTCCTGCTCCACGCACCAAGCCTACGGTGTGCGTCGCCAGCCCTGTCCGGCCTGTCCCTGCCCCACGCACCAAACCTACGGTGTGCGTCGCCAGCCCAGCCCGGCCCGTTCCTGCTCCACGCACCAAGCCTATGGTGTGCGTCGCCAGCCCTGCCCGGCCTGTTCCTGCTCCACGCACCAAGCCTACGGTGTGCGTCGCCAGCCCTGTCCGGCCTGTCCCTGCTCCACGCACCAAGCCTACGGTGTGCGTCGTCAGCCCAGCCCGGCCTGTCCCTGCTCCACGCACCAAGCCTACGGTGTGCGTCGCCAGCCCTGTCCGGCCTGTCCCTGCCCCACGCACCAAACCTACGGTGTGCGTCGCCAGCCCAGCCCGGCCCGTTCCTGCTCCACGCACCAAGACTACGGTGTGCGTCGCCAGCCCTGCCCGGCCTGTTCCTGCTCCACGCACCAAGCCTACGGTGTGCGTCGCCAGCCCTGTCCGGCCTGTCCCTGCTCCACGCACCAAGCCTACGGTGTGCGTCGTCAGCCCAGCCCGGTCTGTCCCTGCTCCACGCACCAAGCCTACGGGGTGCGTCGCCAGCCCGGCCCGGCCTGTCCCTGCTCCACGCACCAAGTCTACGGTGCGCGTCGCCAGCCCGGTCCGGCCTGTTCCTGCCACTCGCACCAAGTCTACGGTGCGCGTCGCCAGCCCGGCCCGGCTCGTTCCTGCCACTCGCACCAAGCCAGGGGTGCGAGTCGTCAGTCCGGCACAACCCGTGCCTGGGTCATCGGTGCCAGATCAGGTACCGCTTTATTGCTCCCCAACGGAGCTGAAGCTAGCCGCTCCTGCTACGTCCAGGTCAGCTCCAGCCAGCGGAGCCAGACTGGACCAGGGGCGCTATGGGGGGTTCATTGGAGGGTGGTGGTCAAGGCCGGAGGCAGAACCGCCGCCGAGGAGGTATGCCCGCCCAGCCCTCCCCTGTTTTGCTTTAGTTGAGGCGCGGTCGCAGTCCGCGCCTTTAGGGGGGGGTACTGTCACACCCTGGCTCTGGGACTCTATATGTTGAGCCAGGGTGTGTTCATTCGATGCGTTCTGTTTCTTTGTTTGGGTGTTCTAGGTTGTCTGTGTCTATGTTTGCCTGTGTGACTCCCAATCAGAGGCAACGAGTGTCAGCTGTCGGCTGGTTGTCTCTGATTGGGAGCCATATTTAAACTGTATGTTTTCCCTTGGGTGTTGTGGGTTTTTGTTCCGTGTCGGTATTGTTAACCGTGGACTTCACGAGTCGTGTTTTGTTTGATACTTTAATTAAATAAAGTCATGTTTGTTTCACACGCTGCGCCTTGGTCCGCTTCCTTAGACGATCGTGACAAACTCAGTCGGAGTCTCACCTACTGTTGCAAGTTAGAATAGTAGAATACACAAGGTGCAATTTCGAAATGTGGTTGTGCATCAGCAGTGTTTCTCTTGTTATGTCAGTCACTGACAGTCAGTCACTCAATTAGCCCATGTCAACTAACATTTCTTAGATTGGTAAACTAGTCTAGCGACCTGCTATCTAAACTTAGTAATCATGGTCGAATTACCGGCCGGGGGGGGCACCCATTGATTTTGTTAGTCAGTCTCACTCAGATATCATATTAAAGCTTCAAACATTTCTCTCCACCCTATGGAAAATTTTGTAGAATTGCATGAAATTAGTTAGAAAATTGCTAAATCTTCTCTCCGCCCCATGGCAAAATGTGTAGAATTGCAGCAAACTTGCTTTAAAACTGCAACATTTTCACTACGCCCATGGCAAAATGTGTAGAATTGCACGAAATTAACTCTAAAACCTTACATTTTACGTTTTAGAGGGGGGTCCACTGAGGGGGTCCACAGAGGATGAAGTTATTTGCACACTGTCACTGTCCACGACACATTCTCAAATGTTGAATATAGAAACAGCATAACAGAATAGTTAACCTCTGGTGGGAGGCTAACCAGTGGTAAGTGGGCAGTGGGATCTGTGCTGTGTCATAGCTCAGCTTTTTTAATGCCATAATTTCCCCATTGGCCTGTGTATCTTCTGTCCAGGTGTCCGTCTAGGCAGGCTGCCACAGGCCTTGGTGGATTATCTGGCTCTGAAGCTGGACCCAACGTTCCCAGGAGTACAGAACTACCAGCAGGTGGCGCTGAAGATGGGCATACATCACGAGTTGCTGAAAGGCCTGTGCGGGTTTGATCACGTCTTTGGGTACCTTTCCTCCTGTACTCTGCTAACAGTACCTGACCTGCTCCACACGTTCTACCTCCTGCAGCGGCTCGACACCCTGCTCCTGCTGTGTGAATATGCCATGCAGAGCCAGACTCAGCGCCAGGTCACAGGATGCACATTTTACTGTTAATGCTAACAACACTTCTGCCAACAGAGCCCAGAGGGCTGACATCTACAGGTTATGATCAGTATGCGTACTACTGAAATAGAACCTACCTGGAACAACGAAACTGCTCAAACTCTCAGGTGGGGATGTGTAAATATTAGTTTTTTATTCTGAATGGATGAGATTAAATTTTTTACCTGAATGTTAATGTGATATAAGCCACTGTACGTTTCAGTTATTTTGTCATGCAGCAAATGCTATGCATGAAAATGATGCATTCATATTTTAAAAGTTTGTCAGAAGATAAATCATTTTAAATGCATAAGTACTGTACAAACAGTGTTAATTGTATGGAAAATGTATGCACTCACTAACTGTAAGTCGCTCTGGATAAGAGCGTCTGCTAAATGACTAAAATGTAAATGTAAATTGTTCTACTGAATGAATCAAGTTATATTAGTATTACATTTTATACATGTGTTGGACTTTTATAAATGAAACACAAATTACATTCAGATTCATGGTTATTTTGTTATGATGTAATTTGTCAGGTGCAGATGATTTCAGTATGTAATCACATTTACTGCACATAATAAAGAATATGGTCATAGACACATTTCAACAAAAAACATGGCCAGGTACTGTATTTCTGCAAGGCAAAATTGAAAAGCAGATGTAAAATTAAGATTTGCAGAACTAATGCCGCACTACTGACATTTCTACTAAACTTAATTTTAGCAAGGTATCTACATTGTGAAACAATAAAAAATATTTTTGTTATGAAATGAAACATTGGTTTTTCTCAGCATTGTTCATGTACGTTCCAAACAAGTACAGTATACAAATCACAAGAAATTGATTGGAAGACATCACATTCAACAGTCAAAAATAAGAGAAAGTACAATAATTGTACATCTGAAGGAGACAGGATATTTATTTATTTTAAATTGAAATGACATTTATGACGTAGTTACTATGCATACTATGCATTTCCCTCATCAATGGCTTATATATAGTATATTGTGTTGTTTGTTGCAGTACAAATTGTAAACTGTTACAAAGCTGACTTCCAAGTAAGACCATCTAATTTGAGATTGAGAAACATGCTATATGTTAAAAAAGAAGTCTGTCTTAATTTGTGATATGACATTTGTAGTTGGTGCTCCATTGAAAATATTCATATGATTCTGGCTCTTTAACACATAATATTGTAGCAAATTTTGGGGGGTAACCCCGACTGTCAAGACAACACCTTAACCATTACACCAAGAGGTCCGAACCCCTTGATGAGGTTGCATTAAGGTCACTACTTTTCTTTTGGGAGAACGTTCCCCACGCTTTTCTATACCAAGTCCTTCACGTGTACATGCCTCTCCAATGGCCTCACGGGTGCAATCGGGGGTGGTGGGGGGAGGGGGGGTTAAACCGACCAGGATGACTGTCAAGCTAACACCTTAACCGTTACGCCAAGAGGTTCGAACACCTTGATGAGGTTGCTAGGTGTTAGATTAAAAACACTCCAGCTATTTTTGGAGTTGAAACCTTTTCCTGTTGAAAACCAATATCCCACGTATAAATAGAGTAATGTACAGACACTTAACGGTAAAAAAATAAAAAAATTGGAAGCAAAATAGTGTTTTTTAGACAACTGCAAATTTCAAGGATAATGCCATTAAAGGCATTATCCTTGATAAATTCAAATGTGAGGTAGTTCACAATATTATGCACCAGGTGGCATGAGTAGGATTCGTTTTTCTCAGCTGCTTGAAAACATTCCTTGGAACAATGTATATTTTTTAAACAGTGTAAGGCAAACAGTAAATTCATTTTCAAAATGTAGTTGCCTTTTCAAAACAGCAAATAGTTTCAGCAAAACTAGATGATACCCTCAAAACTGCAAATACATTCAGATTCTGCCAATTTTTTTCCCATAAAATCTGATTCTTTGCATTCACATGACAACGATCCAAATAGTAATTACTATCCACATCAAATAAAATATTTGTATTGATCAAATAACATGGGAAATAAGCACTTTTGGGCGGGATTCATTCCTTTTACCATTACATTTACATTTTAGTCATTTAGCAGACGCTCTTGTCCAGAGCGACTTACAGTTAGTGAGTGCATACATTTTCATACTGGCCCCCCGTGGGAAACGAACCCACAATCCTGGCGTTGCAAGCGCCATGCTCTACCAACTGAGCTACATGGGGCCCTACCATCATTACAAACCACTTCATAAAATGGACGCTATTGCTATATTGTAGCCTACATGGTCCTCTGTAGCTCAGCTGGTAGAGCACGGCGCTTGTAACGCCAAGGTAGTGGGTTCGATCCCCGGGACCACCCATACACAAAAATGTACGCACGCATGACTGTAAGTCGCTTTGGATAAAAGCGTCTGCTAAATGGCTTATTATTATTATTTACATAGGCTGGTCAGCTAGGTTTGTACATGTAGGCCTAGACCTTTCATCACCAATCAGAAAAACAATGTAGGCCTACAATATAGTAATTTAGTACATCGAGACATGACGTGGTTTGTGATGATGTTAAAAATAATTAACCACAGAACATAGAAAATCGTAAATGTACAGTCAGTATTTATCAATTATCTACAATTCACATGTGAGGTGAAAACATATTACCGTTTTTTTCAATCAATTTGGCTCCATTTTCACAAGAATGTGGTCTGCTAAATGACTGAATGATGATGATGATGATGATGTACATTTTCACAACTCTAAGCACAGGAATCATAAAAATGTCTCATGTTTCAAAACTCTAAGCACAACACTCTTAGAAAAAAAAGTGCTATCTAGAACCTAAAAGTGTTATTCGGCTGTCCCCATAGGAGAACACTTTGAAGAACCCTTTCTGGTTCCAGGTCTTTTTTTTATTTCACCTTTATTTAACCAGGTAACCCAGTTAAGAACAAGTTCTCATTTACAACTGCGACCTGGCCAAGATAAAGCAAAGCAGTGCAATAAAAACAACAACAACACAGAGTTACATATGGGATAAACAAAATGTACAGTCAAAAACTTTTTGGGTTCAATGTAGAACCCTAGAACCCAAAAGGGTTCTACCTGGAACCAAAAAAGGGTGCTCCTATGTTGACAGCCAAAGAACCCTTTTGGAACCCTTTTTTCTAAGAGTGAACAAACAAGTTCACAAAGTCACAAAGTTCACTGCACTAAATCACACTTTCAATTTGGATACATATTCAATCTAAGTATCTGCTTTCCAAAATGCAATATTCACTTTACTTTTGATATGATTGTCATTTGTTAACAATACAATTAACTATCACTTAATCAAACTTCTCAAAACGGATAACAACTGAACCAAAATGATGTAGTGCCTAGTTAACGCATATACCTTTATTCCACTCATTATCTGAATTTCATTTAATCATTGAAATCGATTTCACATGTGAAAATGCTATTTTTATGTGTTTTTTTGTAAGGGAATGAAATGGTATGGGGATTTTAAAGTAATTTGCACACTGTTCAGCTAAAATAGTGTACAAATCTTTAATCAATATGATTCACATGACCACTTACTACCGACATTCTAAGACATTTGAACTCACAACCTCTGGATTTAGTGTATACTGATCTTTCTGCTGCGCCACATAGTCTGTATCATTCCCCCAGACATTCATTACCTATAATACATCAGTGCCATCTGCACTGCTATTTTAGTTATCAGTTAATCTGACTATTCTCTCATGGATTTAATTTACTTATTTCAGCAATTTGAGGGTTTTCTGTATAGTTGCCTAATGTTGGTGGGGCATATTCTTTCGGTTTAATGGTACTCCTGAATCAGTTTGTTTTGAGTGTATTTTGAACAAAGCTGAAATCTACTTTGAAGTCCATTGTGTAGGAATAAAGGTGAAATCGGTCATCGACACAGACGGCGTAGCAGGAAGATCGGAATGCCGTTGTGAGTCATGTTTAATAATAGGGCATCACCTGTGAAATCTCATGTGAAAAATATTCACGTGAAAATTTGAATTAACATGGGAAAGGTAGTGATCACATGTATAAAACGTGGACATTTCACATGTGAAATCAAGTGATTTTCCATGTGAAATCATGTGGCTCTTCTGTAAGGGAAGAAAGTAAGTTAGTTACTTGATGTCTGTCTAGGGCAAATGCCACTATGGACAGCACTCACACATGAACAGAGCAGTACTGCGGGAATCGACTGACATGACATATGGTCTTTCCAAAGACCCAGCTGCTTTTCACAAATCTGGCCTGAAAAACAGAACATATGTTACAGTAATACAAAACAATCTAACGTTTTCATAAAGTAAACACTTCCTAATAAATATATAAAACAAGTGGTAGCCAACACTTACAATTATGCCAATTTGGATGATCATCCGATTTAAACATTGTTCAAACTTGCATAATCAACAGTGCACAGATGTATTTGAATAATAAGTTAATTAGATATTCTGGCCACAGTAGCCATACACCCACAGGGCACAGATGTAATGTTGATCATTATGCAGTTCATGTGCATTTAATCAAAGACTAATTCATCACCTCTCTGAGAAAGATACAAGTGATGATAGAGTGTAGCAGGAGAGAGTGAAAGCTGTAAGGGGGACTGAACTGTAGCTCCTACGGTGCAGAGACGAGTGCCTAACAGCCTGTAGCCTGCCACAAAAACCTGGATCTCTGTGAGGCAGTACAACACTCGCATACTGTACACCTGTTACAGTATTCCCCCTCTCAGGAGAAGAGTCCTCATGCACGAAACCCTACCTTTGAACCGGAGAACACTTTCTTGATGACTGAGAAAGATGGGAGGAATCCCACCGCTGCCACCAATGTAACAGTAGAGAGTGAGAGCTGTAACAGAGACTTCATGATGCTATATTTGTGAAGAAATTCTCCAGTGACAACAAAAATACCAACAAGTTGGAGTTCTAGGTCCTTAGTATTTTGGTAAAATAAGACAGTTGTAGGTTACTAATCTAGTTACTAGTTACTAGTCAAAGCCTATTCTGCAAAATCTAAATATATTTCATTATTTATAATTACAGAAAAATGCAGACTGTGGCTTTAAAGACTGCACAGAAATGATGCACTTGAAAACAACTAACAGTCATTAACAGGTACAGCCCATGTCTGTGAAATTGTCTATTTAGCTCAGGTAATTTACCAGAGTAAAAGGAGTGTTGAGTAGAGTAATTACTAAATCAGCAACTGCCAAATTAATAATAAACAAACTTGTGACAGAATGCATCTGCTGCTTTATCACAATGTGGCAAACCACAACATTCCCATTAAAGTGAAATTATGATAATGACTGAATACGCTATAATGAGTAAAGTCTTGGTTGTTGAA